ATTTAAAAGGCAATAAAAGAAAAAGCTCTTCCACCCACTTATTCATTTCCCAGATACCTGCAACAGCCAAGCTTGGACCAGGCTGAAGTTGTTCCAGCTCTCCAATGTGCATAGCAAAAACTCAAGTGTTGAGCTGCAAGCTTCCCCAAACAGGAAACTATATTGGGAGTGGAGGAGCTTGGACTGCAACTGGCATCTTCACTGCTGTGTCAAATACTTCCACCTCACACAAGTTTTTATATTTGCGTAGTTCAAAAGCTTGTATTCAGTTACCCAGGAGTAATTTTTTTTTTCATTTTATTTTTGATGATGTTTACATAGCTGAGAAAGATGCATGCCCATGTGGACCACTGGTAAAGGTGGAAAGGATCGAGGATTAGGGGAAAGTGGATAAGATCACTGTTTCCAGTTTTCTTTTTCTTCTACCTGTATCTGGGAGAAAGGAGGAGAGAAGGGAAATCCAGACCTAGCATCCTAACTTCAGCAGCACCCAGGGATTGGGAACAGCCACCCAATGTCATCCCAGGATCCCCAATGTGGAGCATGCTCTGAGGGCTCTGCTCAAGTGGTTTCCATTGTTCTGAAACACTGTTGTTTTTGAAGTTCTGAAATTTTGTTGTTCCAAAGTCCACTGTCAAACATAGTCTAAGTTAGAATATCCATTCGCCCACAAACTTGCTGACAATGCTTGGCTGGGAGAGTTTTTTCCAATTTCTTCTGCCCTCCATCTTCTGCTATACTAGATGTCCTCTGCAAGTCCCAATGGACTGAAATATCCTCCATGTGCGTCAAGTATGTCATCCACTGCACCTTCTTCAGCAACTGAGAAGGCCCAGTTGTGGCACATGCACTCCATGGTCAGACCAGAGATTCTGTGATTATTCCCATGGTTGGAGTTCTGACTAAAGAGGTTCAATTAGGAGAGTTTCCAAAGAAAAATCACCAGAGGTGACAACAGACCTGACTCCTGTGTGTGCTAGCCAGTACAGTGTCTGGCACAGTTCATCACACACATTAGCCTATACACACACACTGGTGATTGCAGTCGCCAGGTCAGTTGTGTCCTCAGCCCCACCTCATGCAAGCCACTGGATGTTGTGGCCCAGCCCAACCCTGCCTACCATTTGGCTCTCATGTATACTAGTGGGAACTGCAGCTCAGTCAAAGCAACCCCTAGTAACTTTCACCAGGTCTGCTCCCAGCCTTAGTTCCTATGCATCTCAGCCCATTTGCTTACCTGCAAGTACAATGGCCTTTTTGGTGGAAGTTCCCCAGAAGTCATTCCTCACCTGCAACATATACCTTCAGAGGTCCTCCCATCCAAACACCTTGTATCACTTTCTCTGAACGATCTGCAGTCCCTGCATCCGTGCATGGGTTCCTTAGCCTGATCTTTCCAAGCCCAATCTTCCAATGAGGTGGCACATTGGCCTGGAACACTGTCCACCCACCAGGGAACCAAGCTCCTGGCATGCATGCTGGGCCGGGACCGTACTCCTCTGCCAACGTAAGATTCAAAACTGTTCACAGTTACCCAAGCCTGGTCCACCAACACACCATATCAGCATGCTAACTTAGGGCTCTCTCCGCCCTCCCAGGATCAAGCATGTATGGAAATCCCCTGGCTTATTTCACTTGCCTGGCCACCAGCACCATTCCCCAAGTCTACTGTAAGCTCACAGTCCCAGGCCTGCATGAACCTGCCTCAGCACTCACAGCAGCAGAAGCTAGGCATTCACACCTGATCCCAGAGTAATTTGTTAGTTTTGAAAAGACTGTTCTGCTGAATGGCTTCTGCTATCTAACAAACTCAATGGTCAAAATATCACTCAAAGTACCAATTCAGTATTAAAGCCAAGTACTTGTAAGTAAATGTCATCAATCACCTTTCCAGAAAGCTCACAAATTTTTATCTATTATAAATAAGAACTGTTCATTAAAATATAATTTATATTTGAAAAAAAGCTTAATTCTTTTGCTGAACAATAAAATTAATAGCATTACTTTTTTTCATTCAGATTTATTTGACATAACAAAAATTATAACACAAGTAACTCGGATCTGCTTTACAACATGATCCTTAATAAAACTTAACAAGTCTGTCCACACAGTGTGAAAAAGCAACTAACTCTGAAATAAATAGGACAGTGCGCAGTGCACATCAAATGAAGGGTCTATCTATGGGAACTTTACTAGTCTATAACATGCAGGACCAAGTTCCTGTGATAAGTGCGAAGAGCCAAGCAGAGGGTCAGGAGGCCATGTTGTGCACTGCCACTGTGATGCCATCATGTTTCTGGATCATAATGTTCCCCTTATCTGATTCTAGACACACCACAGGAATGTCTGTGGGGTCAGAGGTAAGCTTAGCTGCTTGCTGGGCTAGAACAGATATCACTCCAGCAAAACACTAAATCATTCACATGAATCAAATCTTCCCAAAACTAAGACACATGAAGCAGATATTTAGCCAGTGGTTAAGATGTCAGAACATCAGGTTAGGTTTAATTCCCAGCTCCGTTTCCAGCTTCCAGCCAATGCAGACTCAGGGAGGGAGCAGCAGAGGATGATAGCTTAGATGGATGAATTGAACGTTAGACCTCTGTTACCTTTTTAAGGGGCCAGTATTAAGAGTATTAAGTCTCTGGCATTTGCCTTGAACCCTGGCTATGACCAAGCCATTGCTACCAATTGCAGCCTTCTGGAGAGTAGAACAAAAGCTCTCACTCTAAAATAGAAATCAAACAAAAAACAAGCACCAAAAAGTTCTGAAATAGTAGTTAATGGAAGTTATTTCATCATCTTTTACTGAAATAAAAATGGATGAAGTTTTATTAGTTTTTAAGCAATCTGGCAATCTTAAACAAAGGTAGATAGGTAACACTATGTGAGAAATAGTAATACAGAATGCTGATATATAATTTAGTTATTATCTTCTGCTTTAAAAATTAAAACACTTGTCTCCAATAAAATGAAAAGGTTTAGGAAATTTGCTTTGGAACTAACTTCCCATATAATGCCATCATGTATTTTCTTGTTTATCTAGTATGTCAACACAAATCACTGCATCTGTTTTATAACTTTCAAAGTTTCCTTTTTGATAAGTGAAAAAATGAGCATATTATCTCTAGATACTTTACTTCCACATTCAATTATAATAAATTATAACATTGCTTAAGTAATTTTTAAAGTCTTTACTTTGATAAAGTTGTTGCAATACTTTAATGAATCCATTGGGGTTTCCAGAAAGGAAAAAAACAATATGAATTCAGGGTGAAAACATTTAACAGCACAGCCAATGTCTCCATTTGACTAAAATGTTTATGAATACCCACAACATGGAAGCTAGCCTAAGATACTTACATTTTTCTCTTTTAAAGGGGAGCACTCAAAATACTCCATAGAAAAGGAACTGTTTTAATAAAGCCCAAATTCAGTTTACATTTCTAATATATGTATAAAATTTGAGACTTTTTTAAAATTCAAGCTTTAAAAATCAAAGAATCCTTCCTAGAATTTTTATTAGAATCTAAAGGACCAAATGGTAACTACATTCTATCAAGTGAAAATGCTAGGACACTGTTCTGGGTCCTGATAACATCAAGACAATAACATGTTTACTGTCCATAGAGGAATTCTTCCTCTTTCATTATCTAAATTCCCAGCAACAGTTTATCTTTGATTACAACATAAATTGACATCTCCAACAAAAGCCAAATACACTAGCTCCATGTTTGGAGGTAGATAACAAACATTTATTAAAAGTTCCAGTATTTACAAACCACTATATTTAGTTTCGTGAGATAATGGAATTTGGAGATTATAAATTAGAAAGAAAGGCAAAACTAGCTAAGTGAAAATCTAATCAATATAAAACACTGCATTTATAAGCCATGATGTCTGCCACATGGGCAGCACTTATGAATATCTGTTAGTTTTATTTGGACTTTATGAAAAGGTAAGATTCTTGGGGACGTTTGACTATGAAAGGGAGATTTAAAACAGACTGGAAATTAGATGATCATAGTGAATATCCAAGAAAAAATTTCACATTTGTAAGAAAGGTGAATATGCTAAGCACGTTAAGGTTGAAATGAAATGTAGTTAAAAATCAATTTTGAAGTACTCTAGAGAAAAAGGAAGAGAAGGTGGAAGGAAGAGGGAAGGACACAAAAATAGCCAAATCAAGTGCAGCAAAAACCTTAGTAATTATTGTGTTTGAGTGATGGGCATATTGGGAGTCTATTATATTATGTTTTCCCTAACTTTGAAGTATGTTTGGCATTTTCATGATAAAATTAAAACAAAAGTTTTTTAGCTCTGTACATGAAATTGGCAAATGAAGATGAAAAGGTAAAATGTGAAAAAGTGAGCATGTTGGACACTCTGCCTCATCCTAGCCCCCACCCATCTGCCAAGGCACTTGCAATCACTCTTCTGTTTTCTCGGCTGCACGAGGCAAGAGTCAGATACCTCAGCAATTCTGAGTCCTTCATCCCCCACTGCAGTTAACTACCCAGTGTGCTCGTTCTCTCTCTCTTTGTCTCTCTCTCCTTTTTTTCTTTTATTTTCCTGATAGCCCACAACTCATGGTCTTGGCATTGGTCCATCTACTACATCCATGCTTCGAAATTTTAGTTGTATTTCCATTTGTCTCCAATTCTCAGTAGTTAATAAATGACAGCTGCAGCTGCAAAATGTAACACATAAAGTCAAGAGAAAGGCATTAACTGATAAACTTCAGGGTAAATAATCTGTGTGAACTCACAGACTCTCCAAAAACCCATGATGTCTTTTCGAACACGTCCTTGACATTTCAATGTTTCCACAAAGTTGATAGGAAGTGGACCTGGAAGCACTGAATATTTTCAAAAGTAAACAGAATTTTACTTTCTGCTTTAGCCTCAAGTTTGTCCTCACCTTGTATCTCCATTTCAACATGGGGTTTTCTAAATCTTCTCAACAGTTTCTTAAAATTTTAATATAAATGTTAGAAATACCTGCATCACAAATTCTCGACGTCGAGGCATTCCCCTTTCTGAAAGCAAAACATAATCTGGCTCCTTTTCCTTTTTGGCCTGTTGAATTTGCGCCAGGCGGCTAATGGGGTTCATTCCTTGACCATACTCTGGTCCAGCCTAGAAAATAATTCAAGAAACAGTGTCAAAATATGCTCATAAAACTTGTTATTTATGTCCTTAAAAATAAATAAACCAGCAGTATGCCACTCTCCCTCAGTACCTCAAAGCTATGACTGAAGAAGGTAAGAGTGAATTATGAAAATTTGGAAAATAAAATCATACAATGTGTCTAAAATTAAGACTGCTATGGGGTTAGCAGCTTAGAAGTATTAACAGGTTGGATCAATTACACTTTTCAAAAATTAAGTCTTCAGTACAGCATAGTTTCTTCAAAACTTCTGTTCATCAAAACACACCAAATAAAACATGATAAGCCAGCTATGAAACAGAGATATCTGCAACACATATACCTAAAAAATATGTGTATAGCATATATATATATATATATATACCTAAAGGTATATATATATACCTTTTTAAAAAGTATTAGGACAACCTGAAAGAGATGAATAGATAGTTCCCCCTACCCCCAAAAAAGAAGGAAGGAAGGAAGGAAGGAAGGAAGGAAGGAAGGAAGGAAGGAAGGAAGGAAGGAAGGCAGGCCTACATGATAGTCTAGTGGCTAAAGTCCTCGCCTTGCATGCACTGGGATCCCATACTAGCGCCAGTTTGTGTCCCAGCTGCTCCACTTCCCATCCAGCTCGCTGCTTGTAGCCTGGGAAAGCAGTGGAGGATGGCACAAAGCCTTGGGACCCTGCACACGTGTAGGAGACCTGGAAGAAGCTCCTGGCTTCAGATCAGCACAGCTCTGGTCTTTGTGGTCACTCAGGGAGTGAACCAGCAGATGAAAAATCTTTCTCTCTACTTCTCCCTGTAAATCTGACTTTCCAATAAAAATAAATAAATAAATAAATCTTAAAAAAACCATGAAAAGATGATCAACCATATTAGGATACAAGCAAGTGCCTATTAAAAGCATTATGAGATATTATTCCACACCAACCAACTCAGCAAAAATTTAAGTTTAACAGTCCTAACTAGTGAGAATAGGAAATAATAAGAATTCATATATAATATCAGTGGTAGCATAAATTGGAAAACAACTTGGCAATGTCTAGTAAAGAGCAAAATGCTATATTTTATCCCCCCTGTGGCCTATTCCTAAGCACATAAACAGTCTAAAAAAGACTGGCCCAAGAGTGAGCATGTGGCCCAAGCAAAACCATGGTTTGCAACCCTAGCATCCTATGTGGGAACATCGGTCATGACTGCTCCAAGATAGCTTCCTGATAATGTACCTGGGAAGGTACAGAAGATGAGCCAAGTACTTGGGCTTCTACCACCATGTGGGGCCAGGACGGGGTTTCTGGTTCCCAACTTTGGCTTGGCCCTGCCCTGTATATTGCAGCTTTTTGGGGAATAAATCAGTAAATACAAAACCTACCCCCCTACTTTTCCCTTTCTATATCCTTCCCCCTCTGTCACACTGCCTTTCAAATACATAAATAAATTTATTTCTTAAAGAAGAAAAATGCTTCCATGTATGCCAGCTCGCATGAATGAATTCAAAAAAAATAATGGCAAGGTTAAAAAGCAAGCAGGCACAGAATAACACATACAGTATGATATGATTTATGTAAATCCATTAGAACTTGAAAACAAGATCTAAATAAAATGAGACATGTCGTGTTCATGAACCAAAAGATTCCATGTAGTTAAGATGGTTTTACAAATGTATGCATATTATCAAAACACATCAAATAGTACACTTTAAGTAGGTACAGTTTTATACTTCAATAAAGCTGTTTAAAATATTTATTATATTTTTTAAAAAGCAAATAGTAATATTGTAAGGTAGGAAAAGGTAATATAAAACTAATGATAGTAATTGCCTGTGGAAGACAGGTTGAGAATGTGATGGAAAAAAAGGCTTAGATAGAGCTTCACACTCACTGAAAAATACTCTAAAGTTGGGCAGCAGATCTTACTTACTATTTATTTAGTATAATTTTAATTCAGATTCAAACTTATAAATACAAGTAATGTATAAATCAAATACTCTGCATTTGAAGAAATGAAGGTTTGCATACAGCCTGTGGCTGAAATTTTCTTTTTATTTGTGAAAATTTATTCTGACACAGGTAGTAGAGATGAGGATAATCACTATGTTACAGGCGACCCAGGCAACAGTTATATTAGAGGCACTGTCTATTCTTAGCTTTCCCCGCAACTGCTGGCACCCACTCTTGGTCTTGACAATGTATGGTTACGTGCCACGGGTACAGCCTCCAAGTCAGAGCCTTTAATGTCTTTAAACTATATTTAGGATTTTGGACTTTATCCAAAGAGCACTGGGAAACTACTAAAAGCAGAGGCACAGTCAGACAAGTGTCTTAAAATATTATATTTTTAAGAGGTCATTTGTCAAGAGTATTTGTAGTGAGGCCAATTAAAACTTTACCATAGCCATTTACACAAGAGATTATTTTGAGCTGAAACAAGATGGCAGTATGGGTGAAAAGAAACAACACAACTTAAGAAATATTTAGACAATGGAACCAACAGGATTTAATGATTTATGGAATCGGAGGGGTAAGAGAAAAAGTGAAACATAACTCCCAGCTTTTGGTGTCAGCAGATGATGGTGGTGCCAGTCACTAAGTGAAGGAATGCAGAAAGAGGTTTAAAAAGGAACATGATGAGTTTTGGACAGTTTGACATGCCTGTGAAATATTAAGTGAAGACATCTAGGGAGTACATAGCAAAGAAGGAAAGCAGCCTAGGGAAAGACTAAGCAGAGGAAGACCAAGAACTTCATTATGCTAAAACTAGCAAGAGACCTTTAGTTTTTAATCTACTTCAGATTGCATACGAAAAAATAAAAAGTCATATAGAGAGTGAAGGAATGATAAAATATAGGTAATAATGATAACTAGCATATCTAAGAGCCCAATGAACAGGTAAAGCGAAGCTATCAGTATGAGTCTGGAAGTGTGTCATGCACACAAAGATGTTCAAATAAATAGGAATTTCAATGGTATGCTGTCTTCACTCCTGTTTGACTCTCATAAGAATGTAAATTCCGAACTGTTACTGATACGAATTCCACTGACAAAGAGCCAGAACATATAAATCCAACCAAATTTTTAAAAAGTCAATTTTAGTGTTCTCAGATTCAATGATTTAACTAGTACCACACTTTACAATTTATTGCTTGGACATCAAGTCTTAGATTATCATAGGATAAACTGGAAAGAACAGTCTTATGATAGCTGTGAAGAAGAAATTTTGTTTGTGATACTGGAAAGACTTCATTAAAGTTTCCTCTTATAAATGAAATGTATATATTAAAAAGGGGTGGGAGATTTAAATCCAAAGGTATTATCAGGGCAGTTTTACATACACTATACAGTAAATCTCAAAATCTGAAATAACCAATTTCAACCCGGCTCTGGAGTCAGACACGACTACATCCAAAATATTCTTAAATAGAGCATCATCTGGGATGAGATAATAGCTACATCACAGAGCGATCAAGAGGATCAAAGGAAACAAAGCTTTATTATTTTAAATGAAACCAAGGTAAATCATTAGTTTCTCTAGTTCTACTAAATGTAAGGAATTTTAGCTCCAAATGTCTAGTCATACAAGGCAATGAATTAAATGCTCAAAATCAAGATATTGTTCCAACCTGACCCGCTAAAAAACCATTTAAAATTGATTTAGGTCACAATTTATTACATATATATTATTTTCTCAAAGTAATTTTATATTCCACAAGATGTCAATATACAGACTTTACATGAGACACACATATGAATGATTCCAAAAAAGATGGGTGTGAAGGCAAAAACATAACAGGCTAATCTAGTCCAGAGGTAGGCGAGAATTACAGGCAGTTCTCTCCAAGAGGTCAAGTTTAAGCTGAAATCAGAATGCTCAACAGGAAGGAAGTTGTGGGACAAGATGCTGATATACTACATATAGTGGCAAAAAACAAACAAACAAACAAACAAACAAAAAAACCCAAAATATTTCTTCCAGTTCCCACTTCTAGAAAATTATAGTTAAGCAATCACTTTGTTTCTAACGGTTTTACTTAAAACAAAAGTCAGATTTTCACCCTACTATAACATATAGCTCTTTATCAACCTAGTAACTTACTATTTTTAATTCATTAAGATTAGATTTAGTTAAAAGACAAGAGAAGTTAACATAATCAGTTCTATCATATCACTCTGTTGTTAAGCACTGTCCTTTCCACTATAGAAAAGCTATAGATATTATATATTAAAAGATGTAAGTAAACAGATCATGGACACATTTCCATACAAGAACATGAATGGACAGTATCAGATACAAAATATCAACATTTAGTATTTATTGGGTACTTATTTATATGTTTACTACCAAGAATAAATCATTACAAATGTGTTCTGTGCATTTTTTCAACACAGAGCTACAACAATCCTATAAGCAAGAACAATTACTATTTTCACTTTCTAAATGAAAAATCATTTAGGTTAGGAAAAATGTAAGATTAGGAAAAATTTTTTAAAAGCTTAGGAAAGTTGAGTAACTCGTTCAAGTCCACATTCAAAATGGACTCCCAAGGTGATGCTCTTCAAGCTCAGCCCGACTTCCTGCCTGTGTGGTTAGAAGTCTTCATAATGGTGCACGAGAGGTGAGCCAATCTACTTGGCATTTAGCTGAAGTTTACCCTACAAATGCCTGTAGTTCACTATTTCAAGGAGCACACACATACATCTCCTTTAAAGTGAAGTAACACTGGTATTCATTTTTTTTTAAAGATTTATTTTTATTATTTTTTTATTGGAAAGGCGGATATACAGAGAGGAGAGACAGAGAGGAAGATCTTCCGTCCAATGATTCACTCCCCAAGTGAGCGCAACGGCCGATGCTATGCCAATCCAAAGCCAGGAGCCTCTTCCGGGTCTCCCACGCGAGTGCAGGGTCCCAAGGCCTTGGGCTATCCTCTACTGCTTTCCCGGGCCACAGGCAGGGAGCTGGAAGGGAAGCGGGGCTGCCGGGATTAGGACTGGTGCCCATATGGGATCCCGGGCATGCAAGGCAAGGACCTTAACCACTTGTGCCACCGCACCGGGCCCTCTGGTATTCATTTATAAGAAACAATTTCCACAATGGGTGGTAGAGAAGTGGATGGGAGGGCGGGAGAGAGAGGAAGCCCTATGCCTGCAAAATTATAAAAAGGAAAATAAGAATAATAAAAAAGAAATACTTATGTATTAATTTTGTATGTATATATGGATATGTTTTTACATAAAGCAAAGGTACAAGGGCTTTAAAACCTATTCAAAATATTTCCCAGCCCAGCGTGGTAGCCTACTGGCTAGGGTCCTCACCTTGAATGCGCCAGGATCCCATGTGGGCACCGGTTCTAATCCTGGCATCCACCCACTTCCCATCCAGCTCCCTGCTTGTGACCTGGGAAAGCAGTCAAGGATGGCCCAAAGCCTTGGGACCCTGCACCTACGTGGGAGACCCAGAGGAGGCTCTGGGCTCCTGGCTTCAGATCGGCTCAGTTCTAGCCGTTGGCAGCAGCTTGGGGAGTGAATCAGATGGAAGATCATCCTCTCTTGTCCCTCTTCCTCTCTGTATATTTGAGTTTTCAATTAAAAAAAAAAAAAGAAAAATACCTCCATTGTATCACCACCCAATCTAAACAAAACAAAACAAAAAAACTTCATCAAAAATTAGACATATTTCTTATTTGTAACCCATAATTTGTTAAGGCCTTGATCAGAAGTCTGCTGAATAATAAGGCTGACACAAAACTGAAACGCTGTTGACCAAAAGCTTTTGTTAGGAACACAGAGCTCTCACTCCCTGTGACTATTCATGGGCACTGTCCTGACTCAGCTCATTCCTCTGATCTCTGTCTTCTTTTCCTTTTAATGTCAATAAAATATGATTTAATTAAAGAAATAGTCACAACAACTTGAGAAGCTGTGTTCTCTGTATTCTTTTTTTTTGGCAAGGTATATGTGCATGAATGAGTGGAAACAAAATAATACCATCTACCTCATGAGGGCTGAGGATTCAGTGTCATCAAGAATGATTCTGGCACAGAGCACTGGTGCTGTCACTACTATTACTCTCATCCATGTGATGAGTCTGTATCTTATTATCATTTCATGATATCCTGAGATGGTGCTATATAGCAGTGGTGTAAGCAAAAGGAACTTGGATTACAGACCAGAGTTCAGTTTGCTTCACAGCAGCTGAATGAATATGAACAAATTCTCTCAACAGGTTTTGTAAAATGAAAGGCAGTATTACCCACCTTACATGTCACGATAAGTGATAATGACAGAAAATCACTTTTTAAACTGTAAAAAACACTAAGTATCTACGATATTGTTTGATGAGCAAATACAGGTACACAGATATTTTAAAAGCAAAACAGAATTGCCATTAACTTATAGTCATGTATCCTTCTCTGATTCCAGGATGTATAACATATAGGATCAACGGGCCTGGCGCGGTGGCGCAAGTGGTTAAGGTCCTCGCCTTGCACGCCCGGGATCCCATATGGGCGCCAGTTCTATCCCGGCAGCCCCGCTTCCCTTCCAGCTCCCTGCCTGTGTCCTGGGAAAGCAGTAGAGGACGGCCCAAAGCCTTGGGACCCTGCACCCGTGTGGGAGACCTGGAGGAGTCTCCTGGCTTCGGATCAGCATAGAATCGGCCGTTGCGCTCACTTGGGGAGTGAATCATCGAACAGAAGATCTTCCTCTCTGTCTCTCCTCTCTGTATATCCACCTTTCCAATAAGAAAATAATAAAAAAATAAATCTTTAAAAAAAAATAATATATAGGATCAAGGACCTGCCATAAGGAAAAAAGCAACTACAAATCTGATAATATACAGTCACACATCACTTATCAACCAGGGTATGTTCTAAGAAATGTTACCAAGTGATTCTTATCAGGGTGCATGCAGTGTATTTCCACACCTAGATGGTACAGTTGTTGATCCTCCTCTTGGGTCCAGGCTACAACATGTCACTGCCCTGAATACTGTAAGCAACTATAACATAGAATAATAGTAGCAAACACACATGCATAGAAAAGTACAATACAAGTATGAGTCAACAGGCCATTTCCTGTCCCATTATGATCTTAAAGAAATGCGATCAAACATGTACAGTCCATTACAGATTAAATCATCATTATGTGCTGTGTGATTATTGCTACTAAAGTTGAAGTTTGCAAGCACTTACCTTCACTATTGTTTTAGGGCGCTTTTTAAAAAATAGTTTTGGCTTTTCCACTACAGGAAGAGGCGGAAGTTTTTTAAGCTCCTGTAAGACAGTGGTTGCAGCACGCTTCTTGGAGAGTTTTTTGCTATTTCCCTCTCCTTCCGCACAGAACTCTCCCACTGACACCCGCGTAACAAAGCTTTTCATATGTGGTGGCCCACTTTCTTTAATTACCTATTAAAGTGAAATATTAATTAAGACACACAATTTAAATGTGTTCTCATACTCCAAAATAAATCCTTCTTGACAATCACATAATGATCAGAATTTGTATGAAGAATTATACCAAAATCACAGTATTTCTCTTAAGCTACTAAGAAAGTGTTCTATCTAGACGACTCATTTCTGAAACTTCTAATGCTTAACACATTGGAGTTTAAAGAAATGTAATCAATCACATTAAGTTCACAGTCAAAATTGTTTTTCTGGTTCTAGACAGTTTGCCTGTTTTACAGAAAACAAAATTAAGAACAGAAAATATGTTATATTATCATACTACATAAACCATCTAGAATGATAACGTAACTGCATATGTATACAATTTTCTCCTATGTAATAGTAAGTTACTTGAGGACAAAGACTATTACGCTTACAACTCATAAAACACTGTGAAAATCTCTCAAAAACAGCAGACAGATAAAATTTAATTATTTTTAATGCAGATCTCAAGGGCTATTTTACAGAAAGCAATCTTTATCTTGTGACATAGTCTTAAATAAGGCAGTTGATACAACATAAAAATTACAAGCTTTCTTGAGTAGGAATTACAGTCTTTCCAGCTTTGGATGCTCCTAAACTCTGCTTTTAAACTACACTAGCATTTAGAGGAAAGACACCTTCTAAAACCTGACTACAAAAACTTTGGGCTCTTGCAAAAGTCTCACCTAAAAATGGTAGTTACTTACAGCTTAACATTATATCAAAATTTTGTGTTCTAATGTTGAGTATTAGGGAAAAAAATGAAACAGCACAATTTTTGGATAACATTGGTGAGGATAAAGATTCATCGTAAATATTCTTGCCAAGTAATTTAGGTTTTCCAACTTTAAATACCAAAGTTGCTTATTTTAACCACTCTGATGGACATCTTCCTCAAGCATATTTTTGCCAATGATAGAGAACATTATATACTTAACCTTTTACTGTGCACATGTGTTCAGATCAGATATAGTAATTCACTATAGTAAGACATAGTGAAGTCCCCTAGGACTTCTAAGACTCACCACACTGACTGAAAGTTCTTATTCATTGTAGCCAAGTCATGAAATTTTTGAGTTTATGTCTTTCGAAGTTTTCTACCTTTTCCCAATCATTTATTTCTGGCATCAACAGCCTTCTAAAGCAACTTTCCCTGCTTTCCTCATGTTGCTGCTTTCAGTTTGTGACAAACTAAGACTTTAGGTAACTTGTGAGAATCTCTCCGTACAAATCAGACAGCCCTGCAGGTGAGTACACTCTGGGAGCTTGTACTAGGTAAAAGTCACACAATGTACAGGAGGAGTTTCCAGAAGACTAAGACCTTCTTCCCTGGTTCATACCTGCTTACTAGATATCAGTAGCAAAATTAGTGACTTCTTAACAAGGGATACATTCTAACATCCTTTTTGAAAGTTGTTTAAGTTATATATCATTTTATAAATATAATAGTCACATACTCATCCAGTACGAGTTGCTTCATTACCTCTTAGTGACTTATGATTATAGCTAAGCAAATCACTTTCAAACAAAAGAAATTTTACATTGACATATCATTAGATATTAACTTCAATATTTTTTATTTGATCACCTTATAAACATCAAATCCTATAGGGTACTAAAAATTATCTTATACCAGAAAATAACTTCGAGGATGAAAATTGAAATATCACATATACAAATGTCTCAAGCAGAACATGCAAAGGAGATGGGCAGAAATGCAAAATGTTGCCAACATTTCTACCTTCCCCAGCACCCACAGAATTTCACAATATGTTGATTATAAATGAAAAAGCACAGGAACTCTTTCAGGACACTAACATGCTGGTTAATGTTACTGGTTTATTAAAAATAACCACAGCAGAAAATAAAACTGGAAGGCTTCTAATGAGCACATACCTCAAAACTGACAGGCATATTTCTCTTCAGAGCAATTTCAAACACTAAGCTGATCTCTGATTTATTCGCATCTTTGTCATCATCCAGTTCTTTCCCAGATTCGCCATTCTAAATCACAATAAAAAAAAAAAAACAGGGTAACACTGAATCTTCCCTTTCCAACAAACTTCACAGGTATTGCATAATCAAGAATATCTAAAACACAGTAAGAAACAGCAAACCATAGACTGCATCTAGTGGGTTCCTGTGTAAAAAGAGTGTGTCGAGGACTTTACTGCTTAAAATTCTGTGATTTGGGTTTTAGCTTTCTCCTTGAAAGAGAAGCATTTAATGCTCTCTGGAAATCTTGTATTCAGTTACATACGGCTTTGATTTTACCTTATATCCTAGATCCCCTTCTATTTTTGAGCTTCTTACCTATCACCTTTCACCTTGCCCACATATAATTCCCTTGAGTTCATATTACAACCTAATCTATGAAGACGAAGTTCTAGAAAGAACACGGGACGCAAACCAAGATGTCGAATCTCTGTGTCGACACAGGTGCTAACTCATTTATTCATTTAGTTAACATATATTTCTGGAGGATCTCACAAATACTAATCATAGCATAAGTAACAGAACTAAAGGGACAGTGATTCTGCTGTCAGGAAGCTTTTAATCTAGTAAGGAAACATAGTTAAAATAAAAGTAAACAGGCAGAAAGAACAGCAAAGTTTGTCATTAATCTCAAAGGAAAGAGACCAATAGGTTTAGGAAAGGCTGCCACCTACAAGAGCAGCACCCCATGTGGGTGCTGATTTGAATTACAGCTGCTCAACTTCTTCTTTTTTTTTTTTTTCATAACAGCAGAACATTTTTTGACTTTAATGTAAAAATAAGTTTTTTTCAAGTTTCTATACAGCCACAATACTATATGAATTGCTGATGTATGGCTAAAGTTTTATAAACTGCCCCAAAGATAATACAAAATAAAATTTTAAATTCAAATAGTAGGCTTTATAAGCTGTTGTACAGACAGGAGAAGACCAAACTGCATTACACATTTGAAGTTGCAATGGAGCTAGTTGCCTTATCATAAAATTGGAACCAAGACAAAAAAATTCTGTCGCAGTTAAGTCCTGAATTGTTTGTTCTACAGGTGGAGTTGGAAGAAGTGAGCCACAAAAAAAAAAACCCGAGAATAACTTAGTAGAAAACCAATTTCTAATTTACACAGTCAGCTGACAATTGTAAAATAGTTTGAAAAAAGCTCTTCTCCTTCTTTAATATCCCTGAGGGCAACAAGAACAACACATCGAAGTGAAGCTGCTCGACTTCTTTTTTTTTTTTTTCCTTTTTTTTTTTTTTAATTTATTTTTAACTTGGTGGTTACATTGTCCTATGGGGAACAGTTTCATAGGTACTGGGACTCCCTCCCACCCTCCCCCCATGGTGGATTCCTCCACCCTGTTGTGAGACCTCAGCTCAAAATCAGTTGATACCCCTTCACCGCAAGCATATACCAGACTCAGAGTCCAGCATCAAGCTCCCTGCTCATGGCCTAGGGAAAGCACTGAAAAATGGCCTACGTTTTTAGAAGCCTGCCATTCATGTGGGAGACATCAAAAAAGCATCTGGCTCTGTCTTGCACTTGGCTCAATGCTGGCTGCTGCAGCCATATGGGAAATGAACCAGCAGATGGAATATCTGTCTCTCTCTGTGTCTCTCCCTCTCTGTAATTGCGACTTTCAAAATAATAATAAAAAAACATTTTAAAAAACAACCATATGGATAAGAAAGTGACTATATTATTAGATATGCTTAAACTAGAAATGCTATTTTGAAGTCAGTGTAGAGAGCAGCTAAAGCCATACGAATGGGGATTACTCAAGAGAAGGCTCTCTATCCTCCTTTGTAGAATAATGTGGATTCATCTCCTATTTAAATTGCTCGAGTCTAGCTTAAGATATTGTAATCTATTCTTCAAGAGGATTGCACTGGGAGCCAATACTATGGCACAGAGCATAAAGCCATTGTCTGCAGTGCCAGCATCCCAATATGGCCACACTTTCAGTTCAGTTCCAGCTCCCTGCTAACGGCCTAGCAAAGCAGTGGAGGATGGCCCAAGTGCTTAAGACCCTGCATCCATATAGGCAGCCTGGAGGAGGCTCACAGCTTTTGGCTGGCTAAGTTCTGGCCAGTATGAGCCACCTGGGGTGTCAGCCAGTAGGTGGAAGGTGTGTGTGTGTGTCTCTGCCTCTCTCTCTCCTTACTCTGCCTTTCAAAAACAAATACATCTGAAAAGAAAAAAAAAAAAAACAGGGGCAGGGGCAGAATTAAATACAAAGCACAGAGGTTCAGCCCTCCAAGCACTAGTGTGGTGGCCTGATTCAGGTTCTAGCTGTGCTTCCAATTCCAGCATTCTGCCAACATGTACCGTGGGAGATGGTAGATGATGGCTGGGTACCTGACACCCACCTGGGAGACTCAGACTGAGTTGGCTCCTGGCTTCAATCTGACAAAGTCCTACCTGTTGTAAGTATTTGAAGAATAAAACAGAAAATGGAAGATTTCTATCTCCCAATCTTTCTCTGGATTTCAGTCTTTCGAAAAAAAATTTTTAATGCAACACAAATGAACATTGCTTCTGATTCTTATATAAAAATCTCAAAATATTAAGTTGCCTAGGAAAAACTACAGAGTTTTGAAACAAAGTCATGCTGACAGGAGCACATGAACCTACAGCAGGAGACAAGAAGTCTGAGAAGAAAATTCTTAGCAGATCATCACTTTAATATTCTTCCCTAGCAGAACAGATTAGTTCTTTCATTCATTAAATGCATTTATTTGTCTTCCCAATAATCTCACTGGGGAAACATGCAAAAGAGACTGTCTCAGCAGTACCACACCTGAGGTGATTTTTCTGGAATCGGTTCATTCTGTAGTGCTTGGAGGGCTTTCATTGCAGCATTATGTCTAGCAGCTTGTCGAGTCTTTCCTTCACCAAAAAATTCATTATTTCCTACAGTCAGCTGAACATAGAAAATCTTAGGCACTGGGCAATGATACCTAAAATAAGGAAAACATTAAAGTTATTTCCATAAAATTATAATATTTGTTTCATTTAATATACTCTATTAATCCTAATACAATCTCAACCTCATGAATATACTTGTAAGATAAAATGTGAGTCAATATATCTATAGAAAGCAGTGTAAAAAAATCTCTGAAAAATACATATAGAAGACAAAACTAAAACTTGGTTTAGCAAAAAGCATTCATATTGCAGATGTCTTCCTGATGTAAAGTTTTCAGTCAGATTTTGGCTTAAGAGAGCCAAACGGCATGGTGCTGAGGTCAGGGAAGTTCATACAGAGGCTAGAGACAGGCAGGCTCATTTAGTTGGCAACATGCACATTATTATGCTTTCAGTAAAAGAGACTTATAATTAGAAATGTGGGGCAAAAAGATGAACATCATGCAACATAGTAAGGAAATAGGAAGCAGTATAAGAAAGAATCAAGAATAAGAAGCCAATCCTTAAGCAGTGAATATCAAAATATAATGACAAAATGTATTTCATTTCATTTTAAACTGACAAACTTCAGTAATCTTGTGTTTAAGGTGTGGCGGGAAAGCTAAAATAATTGGTTGAAGGAAGTTCTATAAAAATAAGCAAATAAATCTGGAAGAAATCATGCAGGAATAATTAAAAGGAAATGCAATAAAATCCACTAATTTGACAATTACAGTTATGACACTATGACAGTGAAGAACACATATTCCAGTGGGCAAGACAGACAATAAATATGGGAAATGTGTGTATTAAGAAAAATTGTATTTATAAAATTTAATATAAGAAAATGAATATAAGAAAAATTAAAGAGAAAAGGATTCTGAAGTGTCATAGGATGACCTAGAAAGGGTTTACTTGAGAAGAGGACAGCTATGTAAGGACCTACAATAAACAAGGGAGCAAATCATAAAGGAATCCAGGACAACACATCTCAGGGCAAATGCCCTAATGCAGAAGTGTGCTATGCATGTGCAAGCCGAAGAAGAGCTTCTATGGCTACAGAGATGAGGGAATGAGAGGAAAGCTAGAACATGAGACGAAAGAGCAATGCCATAAAGTTTCTCCTAGTAACCATTGTAAAGGCTCTTTAGTGAAATGGCCAGGCACTAGACAGGAAGAGATACGACCTTACTTACACTGGAAAGCAGTGTTATCTACTAAGTTGAGGACCAAATGCCAGGAACTGATGGTGGAAGTTAGGAGGCGACTGTGATAATCCAGAGAAAAGGTGATGGGGGACTAAACTAGGGTGTAGTAGTAGAAGTGACAAACAATACTGAATTCGCCATGAATTCTGAAAACAGAGATGATGGGTTTACCTGATAGCTGACTATGGAATATTACAGAGGAGTCAAAGATGATCCTAGGGTATACCCTGGAAGACTAACACAGTGAAGACTGAAAAAAAAATGGAGTGGAGGGGGTGGCTAGAGATGGATATAAGCAACTCTGTTCAAAAGATGTTCAATTATTAGATAAATATTAGAGGTCCAAATGAAGCTGTCAAGTGGGCAGTTAGATTTATGAATCTAGACCCCAAAATTATGCTTTCCATAATTCTTGGAAGCATCCCTATACATGTGATATTTAAAGCCGTAAAACAAAGAAAACTAAGAGAGGAAGTGATAAGGAGAAAACCAGGTAAGTACAATATTCTTTCTGAAAGATACATGGGAAAAATACGTGTATCAATGAAGATTGCTGATATCTAATACTACTTGTAGGTCAAGCAAAATGATGACTGGGAAATATGACCACTGGATTGAGCAACTTAGCAAAATGAATAGGATTGAGTTTGATAGGATAGTGGGCTTAAAATTGCAGTGCTGAAAAAAATAAGCTAAAAATCACCCCAGTGCTTGAAAATGTTTCCAGGAAGAAAAAAAAATACAACTGAGGTTTCTGAGTATTTTAGATGATTACCGAACACTCAAGAAGTGATGTTCTATATTCAACCTGAGATAAACCGGATAGCACCCATGCTGTAAGCATTTATTGGACAGATGGGACTAATCAATGAGGGTTTACTGAAGGTGAAGGACTAGAGAGGTAGTTCAGTCCTGAAGATGCAGATTTCAGAGGCAATAATTGAAACCACATGAGTGGATAAGCACCTGGAAAGGGTAAGTGTAAAGAAACCAAAAACAGAGCCTCAGGCTGAGGTCTGATTGATGCCTATGATCAAAGTGCAGGGGAAACAATAGACGCCATGAAGGAGATGAAAGAGTCCGAGTTAGAAAAGAAATTACAACACAATGTTAAGGGAAGGGATAATCAACAGTGTCAAATGGAGTCAAGAAATCCAGAGTATTAAAAAAAAAAAAAAGGAAAAAGTCAATGTTCTAACTTAAAAACAACTTTCTCAGACCACAGTTTTCTAAGACTTCAAGAAAAAGTGTTATAAGCACATTTTTATTACATAAGTCATGCGTTCTCATTTTTAATTAGCAAATGCAAATCTATTAAAGGATGAAAAAATATATAAAGACTACTTTTCATATGCAAAGACTTCTTGAAAGCATTGAAAAATCAATCATTTTGTTCTGATACAATAACTAGTGTACTGAGGTGCACAACTTCTTATTAGCAATTTCATTCTAAGTCCCATTAACGAAACTGTAGAAATAATATGAACAACATAGTTAGTCTTCATTTTAAAGCCCACACAATTAAAATTTTCCAACTTCAAAAAATTCTATGCATATTTTTAACTGGCTCTAACTATAAAATTTTAAAACAGACAACATGAAATTAGAAATTTACTCCTGATCTGAGATCTTACATGGCAAGCTTCCACTGTACAGCAAATGTTTACAATTGATTATAAACTTCTGAAAATGGAGGTCGTCCACTGGAATGCTAACAGACCTTTAACTACAGGAGAGGGACTGGGCGCCACTGTAATCACTAAGGCCTGCTGACAATTACAAAGCTCATTTCGGTTTGCCACAGAGACAAACAAAATTTCTGTTCATTATAACTTTACTGGAATATGATGTCATAATACATAACCATACTGAAACAATCTGCTGATTTTCTGACCAAAATATTAATTGCACACTAAAGAGCCCTTGGGGCCTCTTCCTTTTTGGTCATCAAATATGGCTCCTATCGATGCGTATGTGCATGCGTGTGAGTACAGACATACATATAAACTGTCGTGTATAAACATCAGAGGAGAAATTTAATATGCTACATTTTAACATAAAAAGTAAAATATTCTAGTAATAACAACAGGAAACACTGAGACCGGATGCCTGATTTGTTTCATTCCTGCTTCACTTTAACCTCTTGCTTAACAATGATGTTAATAATACACCCCACATGCATTGAACCCTATATATCATATCTCCTCATATCATCATGACAATTAAGACTAGCCAGAGCACTCTCATTAATGGCATCCAGATTGGATTATAAGAGAGATGATGCAGAGTGGTTTTTAGTGTATTACGCTCTGATTTCTAAATATTTATTTCCTTTGGAAAAGAAACATTCAAGAGGCCAGCATAGTGGTGCAGCGCTGCTGCCTGCAATGCAGGCATCCATGTGGGCACTGATTAATGCCTGGTCTGCTCCACTTCTGATCCAGCTCCCTACTAATGACCTAGGAAAAGCAATGGGAAACGGCCCAGTTGTTTGGAGCCCAGCAACCCATGTGAGAGACCCAAAAGCAGTTTCTGGCTATAGCCTACCCCAGTCCTAACCACCGCAGTCATCTGGAGAGGGTACAAGCAGATACTCCCTCACTTTCGCTGTTTCTCCTTCCCTGCAACTCTTTCAAATAATAATATTAATAATAAAAGCCCAATGCTGATTAACTTTATTGGAAGACATTCCATTTAAAAGAGTTCCTTCTTTTTTTTTTTTTAAAGATTTATTTTTGTTATTTTGTTTATTGGAAAGGCGGATATACAGAGAGGAGAGACACCTTCTTTCTAGTTTTACTCATGTCAAATATTAAGTTCAGTTTAGTAAAAGGCTTACAGTAAATGCTACACATATTTTTACAAATTAGTATGTATTTTCCCAATCTAGTATAGTTATCCTCAAATGCTTTTCCCTAATTCAAATGCTGAGTCCACTGCTTAGGCCTCAATAGTGACCTCTGATAAAACATAAGCCATGAAAACTATATTGTCCAGGCTATGAAAGTCTGAAGGTCACATGGCTTCCCTCACCTCAGCCTCCACAGGGCAATCCTACATTTACCAGAATTATTCTTACTGCTTGTTGGAAATACAGATTCCTGTACTTCAACCCTGATGTGATGAATCAGACTATCTAGGGATGTAATGAGAACCTGGAAGTGCCCTAGTGACTCCATGTACACTAAATGTCTGAGAACTACTGCTCTGGACATCACCACATTCCAAAATGGAGTCTATGCAACTTCTCCAAACTCTATTCCAAAAGGGGATCACGTGCATTCCATATAGCAAAATGGACAGGATTTTGTTTCTCTCTTTTAGTAAATTCCCACAGCAGACTGGAGAGACATTCTTAGAGCCAAAAAATTTCCCAGCAGAACTCCAGGGAGTCAAATTCAAGTGTGCCTAACTTCAGAGTTCAGCAAACTATTTTAAGATGTTTCAAAAAAAATGTGTTTTATCCTCTTCTTTTGCTCATTTTTATTTTTTAAACTGGCCTTCTTTTTGGCAGATCTGAGACTCCAATCCAAAGATTCCCAGCAAAGGTAGACTTCAGAGGTGTTTTCCTGAATGAGTGCTAAAACAAACAGAACTCCACAATGAAATCCTGTGTAAAAACAGCATGTGTAAAAACAGATCCAAGTGGCACAAAGCGAAAAGTCAGAATGATGGACGTTCATGCCTCGCTGCCTGACAATCTAAATTTTACAAAGGCTGTCTGCGGGGTCTTCTTCCCTGCCTCCCTGCCCTCTATCCACTGGAGGTCTTGTAAAAAATAAACAAAACTGCAAATAAAACACAGGTTACTTTTCTTCAGATCTCAAAAATCTTTTAGTTTGCCC